AATTGTAAAATTAAGGATAGTGATTTCCACCTCCTCAGACTCCTGAAAGCTGTTCAAATGAAACAATCACTCTATTATAGTAATAGATCTCACCAGTGTCAAGGGATTGTGGATAGACACTGTGTTACAAGCAGAAAGTTTGGGAACTAAGTGCACTAAATGTGATAGGATTGAAAATGCACAGTGAATCTTAATAATGAGCTGCACATAAATCGCAGCATTTACATCTACACCCTACACATTAGAAGAAAGCCAATGTTAAGTATACCTCTTGTATTTCTTGTTGAAATGTTTTGCAAAGTATGTGAATAACATCAGCTGACAGGAAGCAAACATGGACACAAGCTGTTGCCTAGCAATTTAATTTTAGTGAAACAGCCTATATAGAGGAACGGAGCGTATCAGACAGAGCGTGATTACAGATGTATTCAGGCGGACAGTATGAGAAAAATAATGTGTTTTTTTTTTTAACATTAAAGTATGTCAATCTTGTGTGCTTTCAAAATACAAGTATGACCTGAATACAAGCAGAATATGGGAAATTTCATACAGGTTATTACACTGCAGCCACGACTGGCACACCAAGCTTGTCTTGATTTATCCAACAGTGAATGATGCAGTGAGGGTACGAATGGAAGGAGGAGTGCTGGAGGAGTATGAGGCGAGTGCAGATGTTCTGCTGAGTGACACCATGGACCAGTACAGGACCTTCCAGATGTGTGAACGTCTGCTGCACAGCCCATCCAAACTAGCCAACCAGCTACTGTTCCAGATCCCACCTCATCGACAAGCCATGCTCATAGAGAGGTGCAGTGATGATGCTCTCATTAATTCTCCTTCAGTTATCTGATGTCGTTGCTGCTTTTACCTCCATGTTTCCTTCTTTAGATACTATGCCTTCGATGACGCATTTGTCCGTGAGGTCCTGGGGAAGAAGCTCTCCAAAGGAACCAAGAAAGACTTGGATGATATTAGTGCCAAGACAGGTGTGACGCTAAAGAGCTGCAGACGACAGGTAGGAGCCCTCTGAGCAGCACAGTGACTGTTTATGTGTATTATCAGTTTTAAAATGATCAGTGCTCCCTGATTTGTTACTGGTCACAAATGATGTTGTATTTTTCTCACTTTTCTTCACTGTTTCTTCTTTTAATTGTAAAATTAAGGATAGTGATTTCCACCTCCTCAGACTCCTGA